TATCTATCTATCTATCTATCTATCTATCTATCTATCTATCTATCTATCTATCTATCTATCTATCCATCCATCCATATCTAATCTGTATTTCTCTCTATATATATATATTTAACTCTATATCTATCTATCTATATCTATCTATCTATCTATCTATCTATCTATCTATCTATCTATCTATCTATCTATCTAATCTGTCTCTCTCTCTATATATATATATCATCTCTCTATATCTAATCTCTCTCTCTCTCTCTTTCTATCATCTATCTAAAGAATCTGAAAGAATTTAAAGCAGCGGTCTTCAAACTTGACAGTTTTAAGACTTGTGGAGTTCAACTCCCAGAGCTCCTCCTCCAAGTCATGTTAGCTCAGGAATTCTGGGAGTTGAAGTCCATAAGTCTTAAACTTGCCAAGTTTGAAGACCTTTGCTTTATATGCAGAATCTCTTGTTTCAGAACGTTTCTAGTTTTCTGTATCCCACCAATCAGAAACATCCAGGTCTAGTGTTGAAGGCACCAGATTAGAAACTAGAAGACTATGAATGCATCTTTAAGCAAGAAAGCTGTCTGCGTCCCTTTGAGCCAGTCACTCTCAGCCCAAGCCACCTCACAGGCTTGTTACAGGGAAAATAGGAGGAAGGATTAGAGATTGTCCTCAATTTACGACTACAGTTGAGCCCAAAATTTATGTTGTTAAGTGAGACATTTGTTAAATGAGTTTTGCCTTCTTTTACAACTTTGCTTTCCACATTTGTTAAGGGAATCATTGTAATTATTAAATTCGCAACATGTTTGTCAAAGGAATCTGGTTTCCCCGTTGATTTTGCTTGTTAGATGGTCGGAAAAGGGGATGAGACACGGCAACTGTCGAAAATGTGAATTGGCTGTCAAGCCGCTTAATTTTGATCATGTGACTATGGGAATGCTGCAACGGTCATATGTATGAAAAATACAAAGTTCAGTGGTAACTTTGATTTGGTTCCCTTGGGTGCTTAGATCTGGCCCACGGAACTGCCCTGGAAACAGCAAAGGACCAGCCCACAGTACCTCCGCCACTGAAAACAGAGCTCAAATGGACTGCGGGGAGCCCTCCTGACCTCCGTTTTCACTGGCAGAGGGTTGCAGGAGGCTGTCATACCCCTGGTGGAGGCTGACTCTGTGGCAGAGGAGAAACAGCCGACAGGGAGTGGGAATGTGGCTCCGGAGATGGTGGAGGAGGCTGGGGAAGGGCAGAGTCTGGCTGAGCAGTCAGAGGAAGACCCAGGCCCATCCCCTCTCCATCCTAGTGGGAGGAGAGGATAAGGGAGAGACATAGTCTACTGGGGAGGAGAGGGCCTTGATCCTCTTCACAGGCCGCAGCTGTGACAACTGGATAAGAGGACGGACATGCGTACAGGCGAATGCTGGAAACAAAGCATGGAAATATCTCTAGTTAATGATTCCTCTCTGAGCTTGGTGTCCTTCCCAGTGTTTGTTATCTGTGAACATCCTCCAGCCCTTATCTTGCCTGGTTTGTGTTGCTTTTTCCCTTCTTGTAACTGTTTGTGTGGGAGTTTTTTGTCTCCCGTCAAGAATATTCAGAGCTTGGAAGCAAAGTGAAGGAATAAAAGGAGCATCACCAGTTTTCTGTGACTGTGTTTGTTTTGTATCCCACCCTGGGTCATCACAGGGGCCAATGCAGCGGAAAATGGAGCCCGTTTTCGCTGGCAGAGTGCTTGGGCCACCACAGGTGCCCCCAACACGAATGATGTCAACCTGGCCATTCCCCCACTGACTACACCCCCCCAGCCCCCCCCAAGGTTAAACACAACCCTGATGCAGCCCTCAATGAAATCGAATTTGACACCCCTGCACTATAATATCACTTTCTCAATATGATTGTTATAGCCATCCACCATGTCTGATACAAACTTAATTCCTCATAAAAGGTTAGATTCCAAAACTTTGAGATACAATTCAACATCACATTAACATCTTTAATTTAATGTAAATGTTTTCCTATAGTTCCACAGTGTAATACTGCATGCTACTCTTTAAAACCACATGACTGTCATGCTCCTGTCAGTGTCTGAATTCAAGGAGGAAGCCGGACAGTTGACAGGGAATGGGAGCGTGGCTCTGTTGGCTGTGGAGAGGCTGGGGAGGGGCAAAGTCCAGCTGGGCAGAACAGGGGAGAGGTGGAACAAGGGAGAGGGAGTTCAGAGAAAGACCTAGTCCCACCTCCTCTTCATCCTAGGGCAGGCAGGGAGGAACGGAGAAGAGAGCAACGTGGGTTGCGTGGCTTACGGGGCAGGAAAGGGCCCTGATTCTCTTCATTAGCCACATCTGGGAAGAAAGTTGATAAGAAATGAATGCTGAGTGCGGCAGCTGCTGGGAGCAAATGTGACTTTATCCTATGTTGTTGCTTATCTGTGTTCCTGGCATCTTCCCAACCGTGTGAGTTTTGCCGTGCCTTCACGTCTGGAATTCTTGGTCCTGCCCTGCCAAACTAATTACCTCAGTTTGGCTTGATTGGACTTTAAGTTACAGTTTGTGTTGACCATGTTTTGGACTTAATTTTCTGCAGTCAAAGGCTGTTCCTGGGAGAGTTTATCTCCAGCCAGGACATTGGGGGCAAAGTTGCAGCTATTAAAGGGACTCTTATTGATTATCTGACTGTATTGCCTTTGTGCCACGCCCAGAGTCATCTCAATGAGTAAAATTCTTACACTTTCAGCAAAGGAAATCAGATGTCCATCTTTTCAAATACATATTTTTGAAAGTCCAATGCATTCTAAATATAATTGTTGATGAATCAAAGTTACCCTCACATCTGTAAATACTATTTAAATCCTCTGGTGATGCATTAGCAGATATTTCTGTCAGAACTTTTAAATTTTGATAATTTACTGCATTAGCAATTTTTGCAGTATTAGTCATGGTTTTTAATCCTCTTCTCAAACCAATAATTGAGCATGATAAAATGACCAGATCATTGTGCAGAAATGCCAAAATATGTCTCTTAGAGAGCTTAGGGAAATGAAACTCTTTTTAACAATTAACATGCCATATCACTGTAATTTTATAGACATTAAATCAAAATAGTGCGAGGAATTATCCTTCCTGCAATTGGATCATTTAGCTGGCCACAGGAATCACATCTGACTTTCATACCAGGATTACTATAAAATGTATACATCTATAGTAAAGATCTCTTGTCAGTGATAATTGCTGCCCATTTCTTTTTTTTTATAGATTTTCTCTAGAATGTACATGAAATGGAATTTTAAAGCCTTTGGGTGTATTTCTCTGTCAAGTGATATAAAACTTTTTGCTTGATCTTTCCTAAATCCAGCTTGTTCCCTTGGTAAAACATTGCCTTTGTCTAGATTAGGAGTTTGGCATGTAAAAAGTTAGCACCTACCCCTCTCCTAGAAGAATGAAATCTTCTAGGAAATATTAAAAAGGCAGAATATTATATTTCCTTGGATGAGAAAAGGAGAAACAGGTTTTTAAAGACAAAGAGCAGCTCCCTGCCTCTAGCAAATATTTGGTGCTTATTGAGCAGGACTTGGCCAGCCTGTCTACAAGACAGTTAGATCTTCAGCTCCACGGTGATGGGATTAAGACATGACCCTCCAGGACATAATAGGATTATCTATCAGCAGAGCTGACAACCAAGCCCCTTGGTTGCATTACCCAGCAAGGTTCAACCAAACATACCTCAGACAACCTCAGCTGTGATGGCTGCATAGCCCCCTGGATGTCTGACAACCAATAGAATATATTTCTTGCACAGGAACAGGAAGCTCAAGGGCAAGGCCCAAGAGAGGGTATAAATACTTCTTTCTCTCTCCCCCATGTGTTCAGCTGCCCAGGACCTAAAACCCATGTGGTCCTGTCCATCAATAAACCATCTTTCCAAACAGCCTCCATGTTTCCAGTGTATTTCTCCACACTTGGAACTGAACCAGGTGGATATTTCTCCCAACAGGTAGCATAGTTGCATCTTTAAAAAGGATATTATTGCCAGTAATTTTAATAAGCATTGTCAAGCCACTGTATCAAATGTAGTTTCCTTCATAAATTTTGATTCTCCTCCTCAGAAAATGCATTTATTCAGGAAACCGTGACATCAGAAAGAGATGATCTTGCTTTTGTTCCGTTTCATGCTTTACTGAGGAAGTAAGTTTTAGTCATTGTTGTTTTTCAAGTGGTTTGAGAATCCCAGTTCAATAAATCGCCTTTGGCAGCTGACCATCATCTTTTGCTTCCTTCTTTTGTACGATTTTGCATTTGCGTTTGTCCTTTGTGTTTCTTTTTTCTTTCCCATTCTTATGGCATGAACTAATTGCTTCCAGCGGTGGTTCTTTGGCAGCACTTAAAAACCTGAGTGAAGAACAGATGTTCCCTTAGGTATGCTACTCATGAAGGTTAAAAGAGGAGAAGAATGTTGAAAATATTTAATCTCTTCAGGACCATACCAAGGAAAACATAGGCTTATTGACATAACTCACTGACTGCTGCTGCTGCTGAAAACTTGATAAAGATTTTAATGAGGGTGAAGGCTTGTTCTGCGAGCTTGTAGATTGGTGTCTGAACGTTTCATTACCAGGTTAGCGAACATCTTCAGCTGAGTTTAGGGCCGCGATGGCGAACCAATGGCGTGCATGCCACAGGTGCCACACAGAGCCATTTGTGCAGGCACATGAGCCCCAGCCAAACTTACCTGCATTGCGCATGCGTGCGCCTCCCAGCTGATTTTTGGCCCATTTGAGGCTGTTTTCACCCTCCCAGAGGCTCAAGAGAAGCTTCTGTGGCCTTGGAAAGCCGAAAAATGGCCCTTCTAGAAATACTGACAGTGCCGAAACGGGTCTGTTTTTCGGCGTCCTGAGGCTGCAGAGGCTTTCCTTAAGCCTCTGGGAGGGCAAAAATGGCCTCCCTCAGGCTCCAGAGACCCTCCGGAGGCTGAAAACGGGCACTTTCCAGAAGGCCCGTTTTTCGCCCTCCTGAGGCTGCAGAGGCTTCTCTCGAGCCTCCGGGAGGGCGAAAACAACCTCAAATGGTCCAAAAATCAGCTGGGAGGTGCGCGCATGCACAGTGCAGGTAGGGGGGTGGGAATGTTGTGCGCTCATGCGCAAGGGGGGCAGGGCGCATTGCATTGTGGGTGCCAGCACACACACGCTCGCACGCTTTTGGCACACCACAACAAAAAGGTTCACCATCACTGGATGTCAGTGTTGGTGTTCTTCTGTTTATAAGGGCTTCAGGTGTGGGTGTGTCAAGTGAGGGTCTTGTGATGAGGCAGGTGTGAGTCATCAGTGAGAGTCTTGTGATGGGTTCTGTGATAGGTGACATCCAGTCAGGGTCATTGGGAGGTGAACGCTCGTGAGTTTATTGAAGCCCGGCACTCCACAAGCAGTTCCATCAACAGACAAGACACACTGACCTACAACCAGCCTACGAACCCCTCAGAAACCGAATTAACCGCACAGCCAACCAGAGACTGCACCAACCCTCAACCAACCCATGGAACCCCACAACAACAGCAGTTCACCTCCCAATGACCCTGATTTGATGTAGCCTTTCTATCCCAGGACTCGTCACAAGACTCTCACAGCCAGAGGTGGGTATTCAGCAGGTTCTGACCAGTTCTGGAGAACCGGTAGCGGAAATTTTGAGTTGTTTGGAGAACTGGCAAATACTACCTCTGACTGCCCCATCTATTCTCCGCCTCCCGAGTCCCAGCTGATTGGCTGGGTTTTCTTTGGTTGCCCTGCACAGGAGAACGGAGCTGTAAGGCAGGTTAGTGGGGTGGGGAGGGAATGGGATCTTGCAGAAACCTTCCCCTGTCACACCCACCAAACCACGCCCACCAAGCCATGCCACACACCCCAAGCCACACTCCGCCCACCAAGCCACTCCCACATAATCAGTAGTAAAAAAAAAATTGAATACCACCACTGCTCACAGCTGACCCATCGCAAGATCCTTATTTAACAGACCCACACCCGAAGGCCTTATAAACAGAAGAACACTGACATCTCCCAAACTCTGCTGATGATGTTACCTGGCTTGGTAATGAAACGTTTGGAAACCATCCCACAAGCTCAAAGAACAAACCTCCACCTTCTTCCAACCCCCAAGCTACAGATATTTGCCGAGATTGCAAAGATTTTAATTTTGTTCGGGGCAGGTTAGGATTTCATGACTATCAAGACAACCGTGGGCCTACATCAACTTATATTTGGATCTAAACATTTATTCGATTCCTGCTGGCTAGACTCTAGATGGCATATGCAGTTAATATCAAGTACAAAAAAAAAAACCCTCCCCACAAAACTATTAACTATTAAATATGAATATCCATTATCTAATTCATAAAATCCATTACCTTCATCAATAAATGAAACAGGCAGAAGAAGATCCCATTTCTATGGTCTGTTCAGGCCATGCAGCTCCAATCTCTGATACTGTGAAAGTAAATCTGGCCTTGGGGTGGGTGAGGATGAAGAAACAGTAATTCAGGCCCGAAAAAGTAGAAAGCTTAAAAAAAATTAAAATAATCCCATTTTCTTGGGACGTAAAGTGGAACAAAGAGAAGTTGTGCCAGGCTTTCAAAATTCTTTTCTTCTTTCCTTTGAGATTTATTGTTTTATTTATTTTGTCTTATTTTCTGTTACACTGCAATTGTTTTTAAAAAGCTATTTTTTTAAAAAAAAAAGAGAGAGAATTTCCTTTGCAATCAGTTGAGATCAGATTATTATTAGGAAATATTTCACTACACTAGAGAGATACTTGACTACTTTTCTTTTTTCTTTTTAAACTTTATTGAACTTTTATTACATTAAAAACATAAAAAATATATCACTCAATAACAGCTATTTGTTGTGCTTATCATATAACCATCATTTGTGCAATATTTACAGATATTAATTTGTGCACAATTATATTCTTATTCTATCTATATTCTATATTTAACAATTACCTATCCTTAGTCTGTCTCCGATTTATGCAGCTATACCATTGTTCCCATACCTTATAAAACATTGAAGCTTCCTTATCTTTTAAACTCAGCGTTAGTTTATCCATTTCAGCACAATTCATAACTTTTTGTATTAAAAAAAATACGTAAAAAGCACAAAATACTTATTATTACATATATTGACTGTTGCTAAGATTGCCTTTGGCCAATGTTGGAAACAGCCATATATACCTGTAGAGGAACTGGTTACTTTTCATCGGGGTGGTTTTATTTTATTTTTTTCAGGAGCCGTCGGGCATCACGGTGACAACTTAGCAGAGAAGATTCTATCCATACTTCCCAAGTTGCCCGGTCATAAAAGTGATGTGATGGTCAATATGACGGAGCTCACAAGCCTGCACGCTAATGAGACAAGTTGCAATATTATAGCCCCCGGCTGCTTGGCACAACCAACGTAAGTACATCTGTTGGAAATGTGGAGTGGGGTCAGGAATGGAGGAGATGGGATGGTTTTTGAGCAAATAGTACTCAGAACTTAACCTTGATTCACAATTCTTTTATTGCAGAAATAAGTTTTATATGCATTATATATTGTTGTAGAAATAAGTTTTGTATGCAGATCCCCTTGCTCATTGAAAACTTGCATGCATGCCTCTGCACTGTGGTTCTGACTACTGTATACATTGGTTTGCTAAAGATTTCTTGTTTCTCGTGGATCGAGTATGGGATAGATCACAGAATAATTTGAACATTGCTGTCTATCATAATCTTCATCTAACGACCGCATAATCCCTTGCGGGGTGGTGAACTGGGCAACCGAATGGAACTAGCAGAGTATTTTAATGGCCGGATGCCCTTCCTATCACCAGTGGGGAGTTTTGTTCAGCAGATATATTCTCAGTGTGCCCAGAGAGAGAAATATCTGCTTCTACCTTGGATCGAACTCACAGCCTCCTGATTGTGAGGCAAGAGGCCTAGACCTCTAGACCTTCCTACCACTCCTTGAACATTGCTGTCTGTGCTGTGTGAAATAGTTGTTAAAATACTACAAACAGTCCCAAAGTAGACGTAATTCATGATAGCTGTTCATATTTCTCCCTTGTTCTGCTAACCTTCGGCCTTACCTCCCCATAATGAGGAGTTTAACTCTTTACTTATTTGTGTAGAACGTAAGCAATTTACCACGCAAGGTTCCATAGTTCTGTCTAAATAGGCTTGGAAGAATCCTACAACTGGAATCTGGAGTAGCAGTTGCAGGCTAGCATAAACAGTAAACAGTGTTTAATTAAATGCTTCAGTTGTCTGATGCATAACAGTAGTTCAGAGATGCATCGAGTTCTGAAATCAGGCTCGCTGTGATGCTTTCTGCTTTTCTTTATTCAAAGAGAAAGGTTGCAAGAAGAGCAACCTCAGCCAAATGCAAGAGTATCAGATGAGATGATAATGATGAGATGAATCTGTGAGAACAGTGTCTGTGCAGACCGGCTGGAATAATTGATCTCATCTCCAGTGCCTTTCTAACAACTGTATCAGAGTTTGAACGATAGCACTTAGCAATAGCACTTGGACTTACATACTGCTTCAGTGGTTTACAGCCCTTTCTAAGCAATTTACAGAGTCAACTTTTTGCCCCCAACAATCTGGGTCCTCATTTTACCCACCTTGGAAGTATAGAAGGCTGAGTCAACCTTGAGCCAGTCAGGATCGAACTGTTGGCAGTCAAGAGAATTAGCCTGCAACACTGCATTCTAAACACTGCGCCACTATGGCTCTGTAATGATGGTGAATAATTTGGTCTGCTTCCTGTGACAATCTTTATTTTAATGCTAGATTCCCAAATGCTGTATCCTCAAGAAGTCATATCAAACATAAGGCTGGTTTTGATTGGCGGTGCCTTTGCACCTATGACAGGGGTGTCAAACTCAAGGCACGGAGGCCAGATCCCGCGCCTTTAGGGTGCCTATATCTGGCCCATGGGGCTGCCCTGGAAATAGCAAAGGACCACCCCCGGGGTGCCCTGGAAATAGCGAAGGACCATGCCCTTGGTAGAGTCGGACTCTGAGGGAGAGGAGGAACAGTTGACAGGGAGTGGAGGTGTGGCTCCGGACCTTATGGAGGAGGCTGGGGAAGGGCAGAGGCCGGCTGGGCAGTCAGAGGAAGAACCAGGCCCATCCCCTCTGCATCCTAGGGCACGCAGGGAGGAACGGAGAAGGAAACAACTTGGTTTACGAGAGAGGAAGCGGCCATGATCCTCCTCATTGGTTGCAGCTGGGGAAACGAGTATATAAGAGAGACGGTTAAAACACAGGTTGCCATAAGCAAGCGTGTTTTATTTTGGTTTGAGGTTATCTTGGTTGGTGTCCTTCCAACAGACTGTGCTTTATTATCTCCTTGAATTTGGTAAATACTTCTCCTGTTCCATTGTGGACATTTCGTCCTTGTAGTTTGTTTGGTTTTTTATTTCACCTCTATCTGCTATCATTAAGTTTGGACTGTATTGCTTTCTTTGGAAGACTATTTTTGAATACGTTTTATCTCCAACGGAGTATTATTGAACAGTGGGGCCAAGTTGGAGGCATTAAAGGACACTTATTTACGTTTTGGATTTTGTGTCACACTCTGAGTCATCACACCGGGGTAGCTCTGCCAACGAAAATGGAGCTGGGGTGGGGAGCTCCATTTTTGTTGGCAGAGGGTTGCAGGAGTCTGTCCCAGCTGAAAATGGAGCTCGGGAGTTGTGCCGCCAACACAAGTGACATCATGCTGGCCATGCCCCCCCCCCTTTGCCCCCCCCCCCCGACTCCCCCGAGGTCAAACCCCGATGCAGCCCTCAATGAAATCAAGTTTGACAACCCTGATCTATGACAAGATTGTCCAGTATCGTGATACAGAATTTGGCAGCTTCTGTTCCCCCAAGAGTGGAAAATGCAGATAGGGAGTAGCTGAATCGCCTTAAAATCGTAACAGGGGCAAGAGAAGTAGAAAGTTGCTCCAGTCTAAGATCAAGAGAAAAGCCGATGTCGAAAAACGGGTGAGAAAAAGAAAAGGAAGGAAGAACGGCTCTGAAGAAGCAGCAGGCCGAGGAAACAAGAGCCAAGGGAAGGGTTTTGAAGGAGTAGCAGTCTTTTCTCACCAGATATCCTTCTGATGTGTCACACTATATAATGCCTATAATTTTTAGTCAGTGAATGTCCTGGCTGCAGTCGATGTGACTTGTAGCTCAACTTGTGTGAAATCTACAAACTTGGGTATGATCAATAACAAAAAAGATGGCACTGGTAGAAAAACTAAAGAAATCCAAAATAGTAAAGAAGACAAGAGAATAGGTAGGGATTCATAAGACCAGCAAATTAAAGTTTAAAGTTCAGGTATTAATTTGAAATTACTTGCTGAATGCTTTGTTGCAATCGCCTGATTACGCAGGATTGTTAAAATGGACCTGAAATTTAAACATGAATGTACTTTGCCTCAATGAGCAGCCTTCTCTTAATTCCTTCATTTCGACAATTTTATTACATATTACAAAGCGTATAGTAAAAACATTAACAATCGAAACAAATGGTTGAGTAAAAAGAGAATAGGGGCAGAAGTGTGAAAAAGTATTTTTAAAAAGGAAAGAAAAACACAAATATATACAAAGAACGACTTCCAAATTCTTCCAAGGATACAGAGAATACTGAAAGATTATAATAAAATTTCCATTTCCCCCAAAAGAAATAAAAAAAAATTCCTCTTGTTAAATTTTAACAACAATAAACATATATCAACATTTGATTTTTCTCCATCTCCTACCAAAAGCTTCCAATTACAGATGAATTTCTTCAGTGATTTTTCTCTCATGAGGGCCACTACCTTAGCTGCCATTTCCAGTTCTGTCATCTTTATTAATCATTCTTCTATTATGGATATCGTAGGATTTCCCCAAAACATAGCATATTGAAGTTCTGCTGCTTTTATCATATATAGCAATAAAACACCATGTGATTTTCCCCCCACTGTTTTATCCATTAATCCTAACAAAAAAAGTTTCCAGTGTAAATTGTACATTAATTTTCAAAAAAAATAATGAATTATATTATTAGTTTCCCCCCAGTATTGTTTTTAGCCCTTTTCCAAGTTTATCAAAAGTGATAAAAGGTTACCATTTGAGTGTTACATTTCCAACTACTATTTGGGGATCCTTTGCCTATTTTAGCCAATTTAGGATAAATACAATTATACACCATTTTAGAATAGAGTGGAATGGAGTGGAATAGAAGCTAAACAGATGACTGTTAAGTGAATACTACATATAGAGAGGATCCAGGATGCAATTTATTGTAAAATAAATGATGACATGGCATAATATGTCAGTGGTTGCTATTCATCTGAGGGTGTATTTACCTACTTTTAAGAACTGCTAAGGACCAGATGATTTTTGCTATGTCCTGATATGTTAAACTATAAAGTACTTTCCCCCCCCACAACATGACTGTAGCTGATAAGAATCACTTCTTTTCTACAGCTTATTACATTTTAACTTTAAAAAAAAACAGGAATTTTTTAAAAAAACATCTGGAATTACTTATATAGATTAAAAAAAAAGTGGGATGAATATTCATGACTAGAATAATGATATAAACCAGAATCTTTCTTTAAACCCAGAAAAGTGCTGAGTGTTTTCAAAGATCTTGTACTTTTAAGATAATCAAGTAACAAATAAGACAAGAATATTGTTACATTTCTAATAGTAGTTTGAATTACTGTCTCACTGTTCTGCAAGCAGACTCCGTTTGTTCTCAAAACTATTTTCAAATGTCTTTTTTCTTTAGATAGAACTGTTTATAACCTTGGCTTCAATAAACAGTGTTGTTTGTAGGTATTCTAGCTACTAATTCGGTAGCTATGAAAGAGTATGATGGTAGCAACATTGAGAGGGGAGTGATGGCTCAGTGGTTAAAGACTGAGCTTGTTAGCTGGAGTGTTGATAGGCCAGGTTCGAGACCCAAGGCCCGTGCATTGGGGTGAGCTCCCATTCCTTCCCTCTAGCTCAGTGGTGTCAAACTCAATTTCATTGAGGGCCTCATCAGGGTTGTGTTTCACCTCGAGGGCCCTGGATGGGTGTGGTCAGCTCACTGTCACTCGTGTTGGGGCTGCCTGCGTTGCTACCAGCACTCTGCCAGCGAAAATTGATTCCCGAGCTCCGTTTTCTGCTGTAATGGCTTCCTGCAACCCTCTACCAGCAAAAACAGAGTTTGGGAGGGTCGCATCCGGCCCTCGCAAGCTCCATTTTCGCTGGCAGAGGCACCACGAGCCGGTCCTTCACTGTTTCCAGGTCGGCCCCACAGGCCAGATCTAAGTACCCTGCAGGCTGGATCTGGCCCCCCCGGCCTTGAGTTTGACACCCCTGCTCTAGCTGTTTGCAAGTAGATTAATAGGTACCCTTTTGGTGGGAAGGTAACAGCATCCTGTGCA